CAAGCCAACCACATTCCCGAGACTGGCTTTTTAATCTGAAAGGGTAACTGATGTTAACGTTTCCACACAGAGTAGAGCCGCAGTCGTTGTTTCCGCCTCTGGCGATGCAAGATTCAGGGGATAGAAACATGGCAAGGACGACCATGAGGCCAAACAATGGAAGTTGTGCTTTTGGCATTCTGGAAAGCTAGGCTGTGAGATTAGGAGGATCAAGCTAACCAGTCGTAGGAAAATATGTACAGACGAAGCATTTAAATAAGTTCTATCGTGCCAAGGTCCTAACAATCATTTTTGTTGCAATCAGTGAGCGTGCAATAAATTAAGAACTTTTCTTTCTTATTTATTGGAGACGAGTCAAAGCTCTGCAATAAGCTAAGAACTTGTCTTTCTTATTTAAATATTAGGGTGGTGTCTGATATTTTAAGTTAGAAAATGAAGTAGAAATAATTGATAGCTTCCCTCAAAATTATATTGTCACAAGATAGTCGTTACTCTTTCACCGAATTTATCTCTAAAAATATGAATTATTCTTTTTAGCTTATATAAATTACTTAATAAGTATTAAACTATTTTGATTTTGGGAGAAGTCGTCAATTGTATCCTGCACATAAATGTTACTTTCCTAATTTGTATATAACCAGTGCAAGACAGATAAAAAGCAAAATAAAATTATTAAGTATTCATGTAAAATACTGTGTAGGCTAATTCTGGTGTCAAAGACTCTGACAGCCAGGCCACAATTAGGTTGTTACATCTACTCCAAGGCACAAAAAATGCATCTCCAGGTTTTGGTTGTGTAATTGTTCCATCCAAAAAACCAGTTTTATTCCGAATTGAGAGTGCCAAAAGAAATGAACGACTCTAAGAAATATAGTTCTCAGTTGACAATTTGGGATTTATGACCACCGAACCATGATGCTCGGTGTGATGAACAAAATAAGGTGAAAAGGGGTCTTCCAAAGGACAAATTGCAGATTTGGAAGAAGTATCAGCCATTATCACTCAAGAAATTCAAAAGATTAAGGAAGAAAACTTTAGAACCTGATGAATGATGAATTTCTAGGGTTTCTCGAAATTTTGATGATCTCCAATCAACTCATTGATGTATTCCGATCAAAATAGCTTCATATTTGGATCAATGATTGATTAATCTGCTCTAATACCACGATGGAATTCCACAACTCATCAATAGTATTCAGCTAAGAAGAAACCAGAAAAGATCAAGAGAAATCATGAGAAAAGAAAATAAGAGAGAGAGAGAGAGAGAAAATATGATATGTAATTGAAAATTTTGTTACTTCAGTCAGAAAACAATCTTGCTACAGGATTTTTCTATTTATATTGGTCTTTAACTACAATGGTTTACTAACCAATCAGTATCAACTAAACTCTTCCAACTACAGTTACTACTACTAACTACAGTTCAATTAAATTACACATAAGGCTTCTCATGTACAAGCTATCTGTTTCTCCTTTTTATTTCTACAATCAGATAGGATCTCTTTACAGTGTCCTCTCCTTGATGGCTTGATCCAATGGGTCATAAATCCATGATTGGAAGTATATATGACTGGTGTGATCAACTCCATGGATCCGAAGGAGGGTATGAAATCCACTACGACGCACCAGTGGAACCAATTCACCCCCTTTGGGTTCCTTTATCTCAGGCTTCTTATCTAACATCAAGTCATACCGCAACCCTACCAACTTGGAACAATCAATACATCAGATTAATATAAATGCAATATATCAACTGCCTTGATTAATAAATATGGTTAGAATAAAAATTAATTACAATGACAAATGAATTCAAAATGTTTTAATTTGAACAAAATTCCAATAAAATGTAGATCCTAATTAATTACAATATGGTTTGAATGTTTGGTGTTAATGTAAAAAAGTTTTAATTAAAATATGGTTTGAATCAAAATTAATTATGATTAATAACAATTGAATCCAAAATGTTTTCATTTAAACAAAGTTTGAGTTTAATTATACTTTTTCCTATCTACTTTTAACAAACCCTAGAAAACCAAGTCAAAGAAAATAAAACTGATCAAATGTTTGAAAATTTCTTTTGTCTTATTAAATGAATATCTGTCGAGCACGACGTAGCTCATATCTCATATTGTAGAATTGCCATAGCATTTCAAAGTCCATTAATAGCGTTTTGTATATTCAAAGTATACAAGCCTGTGATATTGTCAAAGATATTTAAATCTTGACTATAACTATATAAAACGTTAAATATTTTTAAATAATGAAGTGTGAATTTACATTATTGAATTTATTATCGATTTATAAAAAATAAATTAAACATATTTCGTTTTAATTATAGTTTATAATATGATTTAATAAAATGCATAGACTCCAAAAATAAATTTGGACATAAGAGTGTAGGTCTATAACCTTAAATCCTATTATTAACTTCACTAAACTACCAAATTATTGTAATTTACCAAAACACAAAGCTATTAAATTTGATTGATAATCTAGCCAAGCTATAAATTTTCTATCAATCACTATCTTCTGTCTAATGTAAGTGTAATTTTTCATTTTATTATATGCCTTTTCTATCACTTACTATTTACAATGATTTACCAGGGAGCTTTCCTTCCTGGGGTAGTTAAGAAAACTTACAACTGCATGTTTAATCTCTTTCTTCCTTGTCCTATGTAATATATTTCTAACAAACTTTCTTAGCCTTACATTCAGACATGCATTTTTTATCTTTATGTAATTCTTGCTTGCAGAGTAATTTATCACATTCCATTGTTAAGTATGGTTAAACTTAAATCGATATAAACCAAACTCTCTGATTACCTTCTTGAGGGCCCTTGTTTTGAATCTTATTGAGTTTTGCTTCCATTACCATTTTTAATATTTCTAAGCCGTCTTTTCAAAGAGGGGAAAGGTTAAGCTGAACAAAGGCAATAACAAATGAGGTCGAATGAAAAAAAGTACAAAAAGGGTACAAAAGAAGAAAACCCTTAGAAACATAGCTCAAAATACAGAGGAAAGTTTGGAAATTTACGATACAAAATTCTAGGCTTTAAAGGGACATGTTTTTTTCTTATTATCAAAGTACAAAGATAACGTGATAAAATGAAAAAGTTTCATAACTTAGACTATATTTAAGCTAATTTAATTTCATTCGAAGAAAGAAGTGATGAAGTTGGATCCTCACTCCGATTGTCAACAACATGATCCTCAGTTGATATTTCAAAAGGGAGTTGAAAAGGTTTGGGGGGCATTTGAAGGAGCTCAACATCAGTTTCAAGCATCTGCAAGACTTTGCTCATCGAAGGACGGTCACTAGGTGTCACTTGTATACACCAAAAAGCTGTTATTATCATCTTCGTCACAATTATCTTTTCACCATCTGTGACATCTCCCAACTCGATGTCCTCTCCTTGATGAAATCGGCCATAAATCCATGAGGGGAAGTATATTTGACTCAAGTGTTCAGCAAATGCATTCAAATTCTTCCTTCTTCCCACCATTTCCATTAATAACATTCCAAAACTATAAACATCAGCCTTGTATGAAATGCCTCCAATGCTTTTGTAGACCAATTCAGGAGCAATGTATCCTATTGTACCCCGTGCTGCAGTGAGAGATACAATGCTATCATCTACCGAATAAAGTTTAGCAAGACCAAAATCTGAAACTTTTGGAACAAAGTTCTCATCTAAAAGAATATTGTGTGGCTTGATATCAAAATGCAGAATTTGCATGTTACATCCTTGATGTAAATATTCAATTCCTCGAGCCACCCCAAGCGCAATATCAAACATTTTTTGCCAACTCAACATAGTTTTATTTTCTTCTGCAAATATGATCTTATCTAGAGATCCATTTGGCATAAAGTCATATACAAGAGCTTGTTTTGATCCCTCCACACAAAATCCAATGAGTTTCGCCACATTGACATGATGAATTCTCCCGATTGTAGCAACTTCATTAATAAAATCTTGCCCATTGGCTTTTGACTTGCCCAATAATTTTATTGCCGCAAGGTGACCACTACGAAGTTTTCCTTTAAACACTGAACCATAACCACCTTCACCTAATTTATCTCTAAAATTTCTAGTCATTTTTTTTATTTCACGATAAGAGTACCTTATTGGCATTAAAGCAATTTGCTTTTGAAGGAACTCTTCAATCGTGTCATCCCCACATAAATGTCTTTTTCTCCACTTGTACGTAACAAGTGCAATCAAGCAACATATTCCCAAAAAAGTTCTTAACAAGATAGCTCCTCCTTTTCACAAAAAAAAAAAAGTACATTGGAACACATTAGTATATTCGAACGACATCGTTCCCCAAAAAAAAAAAAGTGATTATGTCTTATATCAGGCAACCTACACTATCTTTCGCCCTAACGAACTTTCTAACAATATGGAAGAATGGAAGTGTAGGATGCTAACTTTCAGAAAAACAAAATAGAAAAAGAAAGAAAAAATAGTGCTGGATCTAATAGCTCTAAATTATAATCATTAAAAAGCCTTATACTTTCTCGACTTTTAAAGTGGGTATAATTATAAGCAGGTATGATATAATAGCTCTTAACTTTTTTCTCAAAAAAAAATTTAAAAGTTATTTTTTGAATGAAAACTTTGATATTTCTCAATTTCTGTATATGCAATAGCAGAGTTAAAGCTTACCTGTTCCTTCAAGACATAAGATATACGTTCCTGTAGGAAAATACCAGGAAAAAAACGAAACATAATTATTTCCATAATAAGGAACAAAAAGAGCAAATTCAATGCAAAAAATACTAATGAAACCTGCAAATTAAGCATACTTTTTTCTTCCAAGTTTGTAGTGTAGGCTACACGTGAGCCATTGAAGAGGAAATGTGTGAAGCTGTCCACATAGATTTTCAAGGCATATCTCAACAAGTACAATCTGGAATGTCCAACGAAAATATGAATTCGTTTGAATTGAGATTCGATCAAGGCGTATCTTCATAATTCGTTATAAATTGACTAAATATCTAAAATAATCAATAATTGAAATGAAGACAATGTGAAAGAAAAATGACAAATTGAAGAGGATAATATATATATATTTTTTTTTTATTTTTTTTACTAATCAATAGAGGTGCTATAAAACATTATGTTTTGTAGTATATCTTATTCTTACCTATCTATAATGAAAGATATTAATGATGAATTTGACATCATATTTTAGTAATAATATTTGGTATGATCATCATTAACAACAATGATCACAAATGAAATCAAAAATTTCAATTTAAACAACAATCTGATTAAAACCTAGATTTAAATTTAAATTTTCCTAATCATAATTTTCAATTGTATTTTTCTCAATCAAAGAGTCAAAATTTAATTGCCAAAGTCATCATAATAATAAAAAAAAGTATGTGAAACAAAGTCTAAGAAAATAGAACTGAAATTCTTGAAGAATCTCACACATCTTGAAGCGAAATTTTGTAGCTGCAATCGTAGTAGTACCATGACAGCTCAAAGCCCAGTAATAGCTTTCCGTAGATGTCCAAAGTAGACATGTCGTTGATATTCTTTAACCCAACCGGAACCCGTGCTTCGACTGTGCAAAATTGATTGAAATCGTACATCTTTGTTTCTCCATCTAAAAAATAAAAGAAGGTTGGTGGATGGGAAGAGCGACTGGGGCAACGAGAGGCATCAACATACGGAGAAGATTTCATCGGTGTTGTGCAATTTACAAGATACATAATGCTGCTCCCAGGATACGACACCGAATACGGTAGCTTACATGGATCACCAAAAATGAAGGAACTGCGGGGAAGGGAGCAATCATTCTTGCCCAGACTGGCATCCACAACTCTTATCGTAGAATTTTCATAAGAGATGTTTTGGACGTAAAATCTCCCATGTTTCACGACCAAAGTGGTGCGGTTATTATTGTCACACTCCAGCTCATATCTATGGTCACCACACCTGCGAGGTTGGCTTGTTAATCGAAAAGGGGAGCTGATGTTAACGTCTCCACACAGAGTAAAGCCGCAATCCTTGTTTCGTCTTCCGGCGATGCAAGCTTCCGGCAGTAGAAATAAAGCAAGGGAAGCCATGAGGCCAAACCACGGAAGTTGTGCCTTTGGTTTTGGCATGCTAAATTTAATTTGGATGGGAAAAGTAGGATGAGGCTGGCAAGTTTTAAGTCCAGGAAATATAGAAGCACTGGCGAAACCTTGTCCTTTTGGCCGTAACTGAAAGCAAGTCTTATCTTTGAAAAATCAAAGTCAATGTGGAAAATGCCACAATTGAATTTTTGTGAGCCCTGTGTCAAGTGGATTGAAGGCTCCAAATCAAGTTAAAATAATATTATTGATCACATTCATATATTCGAATTAATTATTTTACTTAATTTAAATACCAAATTCAATCATTATTTTAGTTTTTTTTATAAAAATTTACAAAAACTTCAACTTTTTTCTCTTTTTAATAAAAACGTTTTTTGAGAAAGATAGATTTAAACTTGACTCTTTAAACTAAAATTACATGAAATTTTTCAATGGATAAAATATTATTTGGTACATAAAAATCCAATAAACAGCCCATCAAGTTAGACCCCACGGTTAGGTGTTTAAGACAATGAATATCCTAACCCAAACAATGCTACTAGAGTGCCTTATTTAATGTGAAACCAAGACAATCTTTTACACAAACTCCTTTAAAGCTGTCCAAATCCTTCCATCCAGCATAACGTGTCCACCAAATGTGATAAAATTGTCTTACTGCACCCAAAAGCTGTCCAAGGCATAATCTCAGCCCGGCATACACGTCGCGCTGACTAGAGTCAGTGGCTACAGGAAGCTACGTCTGACGCTTTAGCTTCGAGGCTGATCATGCTGGCACTATACGACTTGTTCACACGTCGGGCGCTTGACTTGAAAACCTTTACTTACGCTTTCAAATTTGGTACTAATATTAAAATTAATTTTTAATTTCACATGCATGTGTTTATTGAATGCACTATGAAACCCGGTTACTCTAAATATATTGGTGTCAAACAGAGAGAATTTAATTTTTTCTTCATGAAATAGTTTGGTTACATACTTTATTTTGGTTGTGATTTCAAATATTATGGACTCAGTTATATGTGTGTCACATGTAATAATTAGATGATCGATGATAATTGCATTTTGCATTGATAATCACTAAAACAATTTATGATATACCCATGATGAGGTTATTTACTTTTGATATGCTACATGTGAAGAATTGCTCTTATAGAGGTGAGATTAAAGATCACAGCATGCAGATTTAGTTGGCTCATCAATTGGATCGTCACCACCATGATCCTCAATTGATGCTTCAAAAGAAAGTTGGAAAAGTCTGAGAGGCATTTCAAGGAGCCCAACATCAGTTTCAAGCATCTCCAACACTTTGATCATTGAAGGACGAGCAGGAGGCTTCATTTGTATACACCAAAAAGTGTTGTTACTAACATCTTCCTCAAAATTATCTATTTCTTCATCGACAATTATGTCCCAACTCTATGTCCTCTCCTTAATCAAATCGGTCATATATATATCTGTGATGGAAACTATATCTAACTTGATTGTTCAATGAATGTATTAAAACATTTTCACCTTCTTATCATTTCCATTAATAACATCTCAAAACTATAAACAGCATCCTAGTATGAGATACCTCAAATGATTTTGTACCAACTCAAGAGCAATATATCATTGTGTATCTCGTGCTGTAATGAGAGAAACAATGTTATTCTCTATTGAATACAATTTTGCAAGATTAAAATCTCAAATTTACATGCTTCTCCCTCGAAGTAAATATTTAATCGCTCCAGCCACTTCAAACACAATATCAAGTATTTTTTGCCAACTTAAAGTGATCTTATTTCTCCTGCAAATAGGATTTAATCTAGAGATCCATTTGGCATGAAGTCATGTACAAGAGTTTATTTTAATTTCACTACACAAAATCCAATAACTTTTTACGACATTAATGTGATGAATCCTCTAAATTGTTACAACTTCATTAATGAAATCTTTCCCATTAACTTTTGAGTTGCCCAACAACTCTACTGCCACGATGTGGTTGCTACAAAGTTTTCATAAACATTGAACCATAATCCCCTTCACTTAATTTTTTTCTAAAGCCATTAGTTATTCTTTTTATTTCATAATAAGGATACCTAATAGGTACTAAGTTATTCTGACATAGAACGAACTCTTCAATTCTATCATCTGCAGATAATTATCTCTTTCATAACCTGTATCTAACAAGTGCAATCAAGCAAGAGATACCCAGCAAAGTTCCTGATATAACAATACCTCCTTTTCAAGAAAATTATTGGAACACATATTAGCATTTTTGAATGACCATGGTTTATAATGACAAATGATTATTGGATCCTCAAAAAGTAATATTCGTGTAACACTGATATTTCTCCATTCCCTGTATATAGAATTGCAAAGCTAAAATTACTTGTAATTCCAAGACCATAATATACGTTCCTGTAGAAAGATGCCATGACATAAACGAAATATGGTTTGTCAAGGCATACTTTTCACCGATGCCAATCTACAACATCCAACACATCAAGTAACTTATTTCCAAGGCAGATAATATACCATGCAAAAGCAAAGAACATTATGTTAGCACATCTAATATTATTTAAAAGTGAGAGATAATAAGGCTGAATTTAATTTCGCTATAAGGTAAATAAAATATTTCATTAGGATGGTTTGGATGTTAAAAGACACATTGCCTCACGCCGAGAAACATAATCAAAAGCAAAGGAAGTAAGAGGAAGAGAGCAATTATCCACATCCAGACTACCATCAACCAATCGGATCGTAAAATTAGAATAAAACATTTCTTTGACATGGAATTTCCCATATTTCCTGACCCAAATGCTGTGATTATCAGTCTCACGCTCCAATTCAACCCTATAATCTGTGTCATTACACTTAGGTTGACGTTTTAATTGGAAAGGGTAAATGATGGCAAGGTTTCCACACAAAGAAGAGCCGCCGAAGTCCTTGTTTTCACATCTAGCGAGGCAAGCTTTAGGGAATAGATATAAAGCAAAAGGGTCATGAGGCTAAACAATGGCAGTTCCGTTATTGACTTAGACATGCTAAAATTTGGATGAGAAAGAGCGAGAATCAGGCTATAACAAGTTTTATCGATTAAGCCAAGGAAATAAAGAAGCATGGGATCGTTTTATCTTCAATATTCCAACAACCATTTTGATGCAAGCAAATACTTTAGACATCGAAGTCCTTGATGCATTAGTCAAAAAGAAAGGAGAAAAAAAGAAAGTCAACTGATGCCAAAGTTGGAGAAGAATTTAACGACTTAGCAACTCACGGATAAGAATTCTTTAACTTTTCTCCCTTTTTCTGGCTACAAACAGCATACGTAACATATATAACAATACAAACGTTCACTAGCTTACACTATATTTAAGGTATACTTAAATTTGCAACATGAAGTGATGCAGTAGATTCATCTATTGGATTCTCAGTAACATCACCGTCACTTGATGTGTCAAGAAGATATTGAAAAGGCTTGGGAGGCATTTCGAGTGACTCAATATCAGTTTCAAGCATCTCCAATACCCTACTCATTGAAGGACGATCGATAGGCTTCAATTGTATGCACCAAAGGGCTGTTATCACCATCTTCTTTACTATTATCTTTTCATCATCTGTTATGTCTCTGAACTCTATATTATCTCTTTGATCAAATTGGTCATAAATCCATGATGGAAAGTAAATTTGACTTGATCGTTCAACAAATGTATCCACATTCTTCCTCTTTCCTACTATTTCCAATAATAACATTCCAAAACTATAAACATCAGCTTTATATGAGATACCTCCGATGTTTTTGTAGACCAATTCAGGAGCAATATATCCTACTGTACCTCGAGCTGCCGTGAGAGATACAATACTATCAGCTACTGAATATAATTTTGCAAGACCAAAGTCTGAAACTTTTGGGATAAAGTTTTTGTCTAGAAGAATATTGTGTGGTTTGATATCAAAATGTAGAATTTGCATGTCACATCCTTGATGCAAGTATTCAATCCCTCGAGCCACTCCAAGAGCAATATCAAACATTTTTTGCCAACTTAAATTGATCTTATTGTCTTTTGCAAATATTATTCTATCAAGAGATCCATTTGGCATGAATTCGTATACAAGAGCTTGTTTCGATCCCTCCACGCAGAAGCCAATAAGTTTTGCCACATTAACATGATGAATTCTACCAATAGATGCAACTTCATTAATGAAGTCCTGCCCATTTGCTTTTGAGCTCAATAATTTTACTGCCACAAAATGGCCACTACGAAGCTTTCCTTTGAATACTGAACCATAACCTCCCTCACCTAATTTTTCTCTAAAGTCTTTTGTCATTTTTTTTATTTCACGGTAAGAGTATCTAATAGGCATAAAGTTATGTTGCCTTTTAAGGAACTCTTCAATACTATCATCCATGGATAAATGTCTTCTTCGCAATTTGTATGTAACAAGTGCAATCAAGCAAGATATCCCGAGCAAAATTCTTGGTAAGATAACTCCTCCTTATCAAGAAAAGTATTGAAACACATTAGTACTTTTGAATGAAGGCATTATTGCCCCTTAAAAAGAGTAATTTAGATATTTAGTGCAACACTATATGTTCTATTTCTTTGGAATTTTTAGTCCGAAGGAATTTATCTTCTTTATATAAAAATGTGAACTCCAAAAGTGATAAAAATGATAGACCTAAATACTAATAATAAAATTTTATCACTTATTTATATTTTCATTGTCAATTTCAATTAAATTAAAATTTTCGCCAATTATTTTTATTATTTTTACTTTATCAATTAAATTATCTTTCTTTATTAGAGTCCTATTGACTCTAGTACCCCTTTTACTTTATCAATTAAGGTATCTTTCTTTTATTTTATATGACATTGATTTCGTTGATTTGACAATGAATGCGACCATTAACGGACAAATCACTTTATTTGGAAAGTAAATCCCGAGGGAATAGAGCTCCTAACCTAGTGTGTTAAAGTTTTTTCCATTAGACTATATTCCCCTTCATCACAACTAAAAGACAGTGGAGCCCCTTTTTTTTATCTACAATCAGACCAAATATAGAACTTTTTTGAATTTCAACCATTAAATTTTCTACCATTATTTGT